GATCCATGCTATCTGGGGATATGTGATACGAATGGGTAACATTCAACAAATGTAAAGTTATATATTTTTATGTGTTTTTCTGTGTTGAATTTAAAATGGCGATTTGCCTCTGTCCTGGAGATAATTTAATTACTTCTCAATTATCTCCAGGGCAGAGGGGAGGAAATACTAATGCATGCTGGGAATATTCTGTGTCTGTGGGTCCTAACCTGCCATATGTGTGTCTATTGTTACAGTCTCCAATTTGGTCCCAAGTGGGAGACCTGCATAAATACGGGCAGGTAGCCCACAGTAAAGCCAGTTCATGTTTTACCCTCAATGCGGAGCTTGGTCTCGTTATTGGGGGGGATTTATTACCGACGAGTAGAGACTGCCGGATGGGATTATTAGCCGCTTGGGAGATATATGCGTTCGACTACTATTGGCGATTCGTGAGTTTGGAGCTCGTGAAGTGAAGTGCCCGTACGGATCCAGTTCGTGAGTTTGCTTGCGGTTCGTATGATTGTACGTGATACGCATGCAGCCTGTGTTATTGCGAGAGGGGAGGATTCACTAAATGGTGGTTTGTGCATTTGATGCTGAGGGTACCGTAACAACATATTTGTATTCCTAACACTATTCCACTGCTGTATGATGATGGCATTGCTAAGCACACATTCTGGAGATGAGACGATGGCGTTAATCCATTGACAATATAATGTGATGTAAAGTCATTTAGAGTCTGCTTGTAAAGTGATCTTAGCAGAATTTTAAAGCGAATTAAAGAACAAATTATGTTTACACTTTAATTTATTTCTGAATTAACCATTACAAAATAGAAAAACAAAGAAACAAATGTATTCATGCAAATTGATATTGGGAGACATAAAAACAACATATTATGAAATATATTAAAAAAAGAGTATTCAATGAAAGCTACCTTAAATGGGTAAAAATAAACACAATTAACAAACGAGAGATAAGGGCAACGGGACAGCTACGATGAGGGTGATAAACTGAAGAATGTAAGAACGCTTGTTTTTAGAATGAGAAGAGAGTTATGCACATACAATATAAAACACTTAAAGTGGGGAATGTAGGAAAAGATATTATAATTTTCACTACCGAATATTACTAAAATGGAAATGCTCATCCAAGAATTAAGGATGGGGTAACGCACGTGCCATTTTTAGGAAACTGGGATGAGACTAACCACACTGTTATAAAGTCTGTTATAAGTCTGTTATATACATAAAAGAGCAAAACTATTTGTCTTCAACAATACTTGCAATAAGGATATAAGAAAGTAATAAATAACAATCAAGTAACGAGGAACAAAATCAGAAGTGAGCAGTACCATAATAACAATTGGCGTACAATATTTTTGTCTATGTCTTGTGAAGCTATCAGTGAACCTCTTATGTAGATTCTCCCAGATCCTGTAGTGAAGCAGTGATTCTAACTCCTTCATACCCAAACATCAGTCGAGACTTGATGAACGGTACAAGAACTGGTTTTATTCAGCCAAATGCGGATCCATTTATACCCAGACCTCCAGCATGGGGTCTCTATTCAGAACTCCTTTAGACCACCCAGACGTCTCTGTGTCTGGGAGATAATTGATTGATAACCGATAAACAAATACTTTCCTGGATACAAAGAGCGCAACACAGAAATACCCCCAAAACATCCCTTAAATATTAATGTATTCCCGCATGTCCTACATCATTTTAATGGGCAGATCTAAGTGTCCATTGTTGTAAAATATCGCTTGTATCCATGCAGAATTGTCGAAACACCACACAGTCAAAGTTTCGCCCAACCGCTCCAATAACCTGGGCTGAGCTCAGCTGGCCCGGGTGGGTTCCCTGCCACTTTGGACATTCCTTTAATGTTTAATGCAATGCTTCCTGGTGCTTCTTTATGTAAAGCATTGGATTAAATAATCATGATAATCACAGAGTAGATCGGGGCTGTTTTCAGGAGATTCTATTTTAACATTGACGTGTCACTATAACACTATCACAAATACTTTTGAGTCGATTTTGATCCCATTTAGAAGGTACACTTGGCTGTTGGATTTTCTTTCTTCACAGATAATTAAGCTTCAATAATTGCATGAATTAAGTGGTCATATAAATTATTAGGAGTAAAGTGAAAACATAAGAAACACAGAATCACACGTTTGCGCACTACCCAGGAGACTAGTTGTTTTGCGATATGTCCAGTTGCTTCTTTGATGGAGGTTAGAGAATGTTTGTTTATTTTTTGCGCAGCTCATTTTAGTAATACACAGGAAATGACACAGGAAGGCACTCTTGCAGAGAGCAATAAACAAGGTGAAATAAAAGATGTGTCTAAACCAGCGATTATTTCCTGTAAGTCAAGACTCATCTCGGTCCACACAAAAGATTAATTTTCTGAAGCAGCAATATATGTCTACATGCAAGAAGGTTCTGACACGTCAATCAGTCTTACAAAACAAATGCTGTTAACAGAACAACTGTTCTCCAAGCACCATGACCACTTGCAGTGCCTCCATCCCTCTGCCTAGCCCATCCTTGTTGATTACATTTGGTAACGTCTTTGGAACATGTAACATCCCCATCTTTACTGCTCTCACTGTAAAAATAAAGAAATTCCATCTACTGCTAAAGTAACATTTCATTCCTAGGGTAGATCCTTCTGACTTACAGCAATGGACAAGTCACCAGACAGTTCATGTGGTCAACATGGACATATTGATGTTAAGTTATCTTATCCTGTCTCAGATATCTCTTTACTGCAGTAAGCAGACTCAATATTCCACACATTATTTATTCAGAAATTATTCCATTGTTTTGTTAATTTTGTTTTTATTAAAACATGTCATCTGTTTTTTTTTGTTTTTGTTTTTTTACTGATTCCTCGAAGATGTATATTCAAAATATGGACCCACTATGGATTTAAGCAGCTGTAACAGTTTACATATCTCTCCATTGGTCGATACATCTTCGTATACCTGGCATATCTCACCGGTCACTGTTGGGATTGTCGTTACACAATGTTCCTGCATCGTTGTATCCACAATCAGCCCCAAATCTGTTTGGCTAAAAATGTCCTTAAATACTGTCTTTAGCAGTTCCATTGCAATTTGATTAAGTGATAGATGAGATACACCGAGTCCTCGGTTTATCCTTTCCTGAATGATACACTGTTTTTCTGTAAATAATATTTCAAACTGTATGCCTGGAAATACTGAATTTTGATGTCAATATATCAGTCTTGGAAAAGTTTTTTTTTTTTTACTTCACTATATATTGTTGCAAAACTTTCTCTTCTGTCTTGTTTCACCTGAAATACAAAAACATGCTGAGTTATTTTTGAATCCTGTGTTTTGTGAGCCTCCTACCCAATTCACGCTGTTGACAGTTATTGACTTATATTACACAATGTTTCATTATCTCTTTAGCTACAATTACCCCCAAACCTGTTTGGCTAAGAATTCCCTAGATGCTGTATTTAGGTGCCCCCATTTCAATATGTGTAAATGTATTTTTGTAGTTGTTATGGTGGAAGGAGTCTAGGTACAGATGCTCTGGTTTTTGGCAAATTGCGTTTTAAATTCCGTTTCTGTATTATTCATACACATGGGCTTACATTTAAACAGCAGTGAATCTGCGAAGGTGGGGTTTATCCCAGTATTCATAGTTTATTATTTTTAAGCGAATTTGAGCCAAGTAGCAGGCGTAATTTTTGGGGGGCCAGGAGGGAACTGCACCCAAAGACTCATAGCACTATAACCACCGGAATGCATTGTTGTTTAGAGTTTTCATTTAAATTAACAGTTTGATTTTGGTATACCACATTTACACCTATAATTAGATTCAGTGTTTATTTATACTGCTTCATTTAAATTATCGTTATAATAGTGCTTATAAAAGATGTGTCATTTGTGCACTGTACATAGTAAAAATTGGGGAAGGCATTTATGGAAAGTTTGGCCAAAACATGGATGTATTCAAAATAAGACATTTGTTAAAATTAAAGGGATGCTGTCATGGACAAATATTGAAACTTGCTTTGCTCACTAGAATTTCTATTGATCTCAGTTGGATAGTGAAGCTAGACAACTTTTTAATGAATCCTATTTGATTAAAAAAAATAATAAGTCTAACCTGAGCATTGAAAGTCGGTATATCTGTCACACTTTCTACATCTACAAAAAAGAAAAAGAAAAAAAAGAGTTGAATTTAGGTACATGCTTGTGTAATTTTCATAAGATACATTGACCACAGAAAGGTTGAATATAAAGCCAAGCCATAGTTTAAAAAAACAAGCCAGTTAGCCACCAACTCAGCTAACCAACCAAGCCAGTCAACCACCAACCCAGCTAACCAACAAAGCCAGTCAACCACCAACCTAGCTAACCACCAAAGCCAGTCTACCATCTCCTCAGTTAACCATCCAAGCCAATCAGACACCAACCCAGCTGACCACTCAAGACAGGCAATCAACAACCCAGCTAACCACCCAAGCCAGTCAACCACCAACCCAGCTAACCCCACAAGTCAGTCAACCACCAACACAGTTAACCACCCAAGCCAGTCAACCACCAACATAGATAAAAACCCAAGCACATCAACTTAGCTAACCACCAAAGTCAGCCAGCCATGAACCCAGCTAACCACCCAAGCCAGTCAATCACCAACTCAGCTAACCACCAGAGCCAGTCAATCACCAACCCAGCTAACCATACAAGCCAGTCAACCACCAATCCAGCTAACCAACCAAGCCAGTCAACTACAAACTCAGCTAAAAACCCAAGCTCATCAACTTAGATAACCACCCAACCAGTCAGTCATGAACCCAGCTAACCAACCAAGCCAGTCAACCACCAACCCAGCTAACCACGCAAGCCAGTCAACCATCACCTCAGTTAACCATTCAAGCCCGTCAACCAACAACCCAGCTAACCACCCAAGCCCATCGACCACCAACCCAGCTAACCACCAAAGCTCCTCAGTTAACCATTCAAGCCAGTCAGACACTAACCCAGCTGACCACTCAAGCCAGGCAATCAACAACCCAGCTAACCACCCAAGCCAGTCAACCACCAACCCAGCTAATCCCAAAGGTCAGTCAACCACCAACCCAGTTAACCACCCAAGCCAGTCAACCACCAACATAGATAAAAACCCAAGCACATCAACTTAGCTAACCACCAAAGTCAGCCAGCCATGAACCCAGCTAACCACCCAATCCAGTCAATCACCAACTCAGCTAACCATACAAGCCAGTCAACCACCAATCCAGCTAACCAACCAAGCCAGTCAACTAGAAACTCAGCTAAAAACCCAAGCTCATCAACTTAGATAACCACCCAACCAGTCGGTCATGAACCCAGCTAACCAACCAAGCTAGTCAACCACCAACCCAGATTACCACCCAAGGCAGTCAATCACCAACTCAGCTGGCCATCAAAGCCATCCAACCAACATTTACCTCCAATTCCAGGGTTACCATCTGCTTTCTTTTTCTTTTTTATATATAAAGCAACCACAGAAATCCCAATAAATATCGCACATATTATTATAATGTATGATATGGGAATGTTACTATTATTGAAACTTTGTTCTGAAAATATAATATAAAAAGTAGAAATATTAATTTTGTAGTGAGTTCACTTTAATTCTTAAAATGTACGCATTAGACAGTTGAAAGCAAATTGCTCAGGTGTATTAGAAATACATTTATTTTAAAACAATTAGACTGTTAGGCTCCCACTAATTGTTATGTTGGCAGTGGTAGTGATAAGTTCCAGGAACAAGCAAGCACACTCCAAGTTTTATGGGGATTGTGTATGAAATGTGTCAGGCTCCCTTTTTATGCATTTTTTAATGACACCTTTCCTCTTCATAAAACAATCTCAATAGTCTTATTTAAAATTGGCATTTCAGGTATATGTTGAACGTTATCCACATGCATATAACCGGATATTGTACATCAAAATTCTTTAAATCTCAAAGATAAAACAACACAACTCCTCTATGTTTAGTCCTGCGTAATGAAATACTGATGGTCACATTCAGTTGTCTCTGAACCTTACGATTTGCATATTTGCTTTACGCAGGTAAGTGGCTATACTGACCCGAGACCGAGGTACACTGTTTTCCTGGAACATGTATATAAACATGATTTCCGAAACACTCTATTGACTAGACATGTACATTCATTTTCGAAAGAATACGATTTCGTCTGAAAATTCCGTTTTTTTCGGATTCGTTTACTAAAATGTAAACGAAAGCCCTTCAAACAAAATAGAAATGAAACGAAAGGGCAAATGCCAAATGCATTACCTTTTTGTTTTGTTTCGTTCGTTTAATAGAATTTAACCCCCACAACATGGAGAAATAACAGTGTAAAACGCAAGGAGAGACCCGGCAGCACTACAAGCTCCCTCCTTGTAATAAATATTAATTCCACCCACCCCTGCATTATCTAACTAAATATAAATCAGTATTGGGGTCACTATGAACCCCATATTGATAAAAAGGGAGGTTAAATTCTCCCACTAGTCCCTACTTATGGCATGCCGC